AGTATGCCTGGCCCATCACTACTGTTTTAGATATGGTACTTGTATAGTTTACACATGCATCCACATATGTTAGAAGCAGTAACGCTCCCTAACATTTTGAGGCAATTTGTTGAAAGATAGGCTGGAAGCCTTCAGCAAACCACCTGCACTAGGCAACCATTTATGTAATATGGCAATCCTAGTACCTCTCTTTAGACAAGCACGATCGTTAAGTCTCTCATCCCAAAGGGGAGCTGCAGCGTAATTCACACACTCTTTAGATCATAAACTTTATTTCTTGCTGTTTATTACTCGTGCAAATCACTTACGTTTGCAGGAAAATCAGGTAATTCCTGGAGATGAGGTGGGAAGAAATGCTAGCTATCCTAATCTGTGTTTGCCAGCATGATAGCTCCACATGTATTCTCTCTGGCAGCCGAACTCACTAGAGAGATTCCCATTTCCCCTTCCTCACACTTCACATACCCTCAACTTCAGCTCATGCTAGCACAACCGTCTCTAGACAATGCTGTAAACAGTTAAAAGAAGTGACCTGCATTAATTTTTTTCTTCTCAAGAGAGATTTTCCCTTAGCCCAGAACACTTTTCAAGCAAATCAAAAAGCAAAGGCTTCCCACAATCCCTGAGTTATAAAAGCAAGTTTCAACTAGCGGATCGGTCTCACTTAGTTTAAGTTGACTGCAAGAGCTGCCTTTGAGAAGTTAAATAGATGACCCAGTATGTTCCCTTCCTGCATCATACAATTGATCTCATGTGCGATGCTGCATTTTCCAGGCTGTTTTTTGCCCAAACAAATTAGTATTTTTAGCTCTTAAAGGCACGTCTTTTCAGATAGCATTTGCTGCCAGACTGCTTTGCTCTTAATGCTTATCAAAGCAGTATAAATTACAAATTCCTCAATAAACTGCTTACATTTAACTATGCTCTCGCTTTAGATTTTAATCAGGGTAGGATACAAAAGGAAAAACGTTTCAGCCCCTAGGATCCCAGCTGGGGAGGGTATTTGACACACAGCTCATGTCTCCTTTATCAGTCTTTTGCCAGCTATTGATCTCTAAAATATTATTTGATTCTTTATGGTACTTATTTCCATGCCATTTGCTGTATTTTTGATTAACACTCTACAGTGACTCCAATAAATAAAGGTTATAAGATTAAAGCACTTTCAATCATGTTTAAGGGTTAAAATCCAAAGTGATTTTCAAGACACAAATAATTTGATAATGTGAGATATTTAATACACAATAAGAAGCACATTTCAGTAGAAGCCTTGTTATCCTATAAAACTAAATTTTCAAGCACAGCTGCTATCTAAAAAAAGTAAAGCAAAGCAGAAATAAAGTGTCAGGATTCTGCTTCTGGATATAATAAATACAACATATTTCTAAGCTTTAAAGTATTGTGTACATTTTAGGACTTCTTCTTAACTGATGAATATACTTTTTGCTATCCATTTACTCAAGAAGTTAAGAGGTGTTTTTCTAGTTAATGCAGTTGTAGAACATAAGGAAGACAAAGACAGGCAGGTTATATTATAGTATTAATTTAAAAGAATGCAACTAACATGTTCTCCTGGGCAAATAAGGTTTATGAATAAATCCCAGAATCTTTGGGAATGCATAAAAGAACAAATTAGTAGAGTTAAAGGAATGGGCCTTTTGGATTCTTCCATATAAACTTCGTGTGTTACTTCTCAGTGCTAGAAAACATGAGTACTTCACTACTCCTCTATAGAACAAGACTATTTAAAGACAGGCATATAACACATTTTTCAGATAAAAATTTGCCCTTTAGATAGAGAGCTGGGAAGAGCTCTACACAGGCAACCCAAAACCCCAGTTCACAAAAGTTTTGGCATTGTGAACCCACTAGTCTTTCAATATTCACAACAGCAGAAGCAGTAGCAATGGCAACATAACGTCCAAACCTCAGTGTGATGCTCAACTTCTAAGTAGTCCTGAAAGATATAACTAGTTACTGTAATAAAGCAAAACCTGGTCAAGGCAAAATGTATTTAAGAATCTAGAGGGCTTATGGTGTCTTCAACTCCTGTTTCAGCATTTAGAAAAATTAGACTGTAGAGCCTGATGGAACTGTATCTAAACAAAACAGACTTAATGGCCCCCTGGATGTGAGGCTGAATCTGCTAATGGCAATAGGTATAACAGCAAACAGAAATCTTATCGTTTGTATTATTCTCTGCCTTCTCCCCACCACCAAGAGGAGTGATTGCGCTTTACTATAACTACTGTTTACAGCAATTAAGTTCTACCAGAGCATGCATTAGCATTTTAAAAAGCACTTGTGTGATGAAGTGATTGACAAAGAGTTTTAGTAAAATGTTTTTAAGTGTTCTCCCTTGCTTTATGTGTAACAGACTACAATTAACAGCAATAGAAAGTTACTTTAAAAAAGAACCATCAATTGGGATGAAATGCGCATCAGAGGGCAGAAGGGAATTTCATCCCAGCACGACAGATTGAAATAAACCACACAGGAGTGAAGGCCTGTTACTACTCATTATTTTTGACTTAAGCAAAGCAGGAGGATCCGAAAATGTTTTTATTATCATAATTCAACATCCATGTGCAGTTAAGGTGTACAACCCCCACAGTTTTCCAGAGAAATCTGCAAGAAGTGAGACTGCTCATGGTCTGCCAGCGTTGCAAAGGTTATCTCATGAGCCAGGAATACGTTTTCAGGATTTAATTTCCATATCTCTATTTTTAAATAGGTTTTCAGGTTATTGCTCTGTGGTGTGGTGCTTTAACACAACACTGCACCTAACGCTTTGGTTTACTGGAAGCCATGCTAGCACTTCATACAGCGATAGTCAAAACTGTGGTTCAGTTACCAGAACCTTCTCTATAGTAGAAAGTTTTACCAGCAAATCTGTCCAGGCATCAGTAGAAGCTCCAAGCACTTATATTCTGAAGTAAGCCCTAATCACCCTCAACCTTTCCTTATCGGAGTAAGCTTGCTCCCGGAGCCTCAAGTATCACCAGCCACACAACTGCTCTCAACAGCCACACAGAGATCCATGACAACAAGGAACAATGTAACCACCCTGTAGCTCTGACTACTTGCAGACAAATATTAGATGCCTCATCCTGAAGAGCAGTGCTAATTAAGAGCTCCCTCTAAAAATCCTCAGCATCTTTCACAAATGCTGCTACTTCTGCCACCTTCACAACCATAGCCTGAGCCTTCCCTTATTCTGCTGGGGTGCTTAGAAGAGGTTCCAGGTTTACATGAGGCAATGAAGAGGAAGGGAGCCACATGCAGAGCTGTAGGACAGTAAATACTGTACTGAACAAAAAAGGTATAGTCTCGGCACTCATCTTGACCTGAACTGGATTTAGCTTAACAATTGCCTAGCAGTGAAGTGACTATTGTCTCACTTGTGATAGCTTCAGCTCTGGGACTATCATATATGGAAGAGGTCTGACAGACCTAAGGAGTCTGTACAATAAACAATAGCCCTTTGTGTTGTGGGTGAGAGAGGCTACCATACAACTTTCAGATAAGAGAACAGGTAAAATAGCCCCAGCACTGGGGTGGGGGAAGAAATCTCTGCCGTGAATATCGCGCTGTTCCTGGCAAAGACCCCAGGATGCTGATGACTTCTGCTTGAGGAATACTGTAGCATTAACCTTAGGATCCAGAGCAACTCAGGAAAGATACCAGAGAAAAGGGGTAGGAAAGTAGGAAGGTTCGGTCTAACGGTTCTAACTGTACTATTAATGAGGCTTTTCTGTATCAGCTAGATAATTTAGACTACTAGACAGCTAAAACATTAACTGGACTAACAATACAGCGTGTTACAAGATTTGGAGCGTAACAGACTTCCAAACTGCCTCAGGCATACAGGGAGTGTATTCTGATGTGGGAAGACCACAGAAAATACAGAGTACAGGGAAGAAAAGTGAACAAGCCACACGATGACTAGAGAAAAAGGAACATCAGCATAAGCCTAACGTTGTCCTGAGAGTTGGATCTACTCTTTTAATGCCATAATGCAGTAGAATCGTAACATTCTTCCCTAAATAAAGTGTCTTGCAAAACGTGATGTAAATAACACCAGAACTGGTGGTTGAGGTGGAAACAGGGAGGCTGGGGTGACAGATAAAAAGCTCCTCAAAACGCAAGCTAGGCTGTCAGAGTCCTTCAATCCATAAAGAAAAATGCTCTGGTGAGTGCAATTTTACAGCCTGTCTACTTCATCAGCTTACATGGAACTCCTTCCATGCAATTACGTACCAATTTTCCACAGGGGCTCTTCTCCCTTCCCCCCACCCCCAAAAAAAAGCATCTTAGAAAGTAAGTATTTCTTTGCTATACATACTGAAAAATAAGAACTGCTTACTGCTACTGAACTAGAAGAGCATATAAACTGGTACATTTGTCAGATTCAAATCACTGCACAAATAAACAGAATCATTAACATTTCTAAATATTATTCTCCTACTAACATATTTTCTGTACATATGAACTACCAAGTCAAAACAGAAAAAAATAATTAAAAAAACCCCACAGCCCTATTACAGATAATTTCTTCCCGTAGCTCAGCCTTTCTTGCTTAAAGAATAAGCATTATTTATCATAGCTGAAATTGTGCCCAGAGGCTCAGAAAGATTTTTTTTTTTTTTTATATGCTACCTTTCTGCCATCCTTTTCACTCCTTGGCAATAAGTTATTAAGCTTCACAACTGTTTCTGCTCTTATGCTCCAGGATGTTCTTATGGCATTCTGGGCTAACGTCAACATAAGAGGCCCCTCTGCCAGTTATTTCACAATCAAAAGTTACAAAGTATAGATGAATAAACACAGTAACTAAGATTACTCAGTGTAACATGCATAAGGATATGACCACTAATCAAGCTCAAATAATGATCTACTCATTTAAATCACATAGCTATAAAGAAAGCTTTGAATTTATTGTATATCGGACAGGAAAGCATTTCTCATCTGGAACCTGCTATCTAAATAGGAATACTCACCCTGCTGCAACTGCAGGAGGGATGACCAGGATGAGTTTAAGTTGCGCTTCATGCAGAGCTTCAGAAAGGTGAGTGAGCAAGTGAATCAGCTCCCTGAAATACAAACATATTGTTAGCAGGAGAGGCAGTAAAACTGGTGCTGTATTGACACAAGCAAGTTAGCAAGTAATAGTAGGAATGCAGCTGGCAAGAGATCCAAACTGAAAGTTTCTAGTGAATGACTACAGTAGAAAAAGATTGAGGCAGACTGATCAAAAGTTTTACCCTCTTCTGGGAGAAAGAACACTGAACTGCTGGAAAGAACTGCCAATCACCTTGTAGCTAAAATGCTTCGCTGGTTTATTTTAATTTAAATGTGCATTGTTAGCATGTAAAACTGCTGGATCTTACCAGAGCAGGGTAACCAGTGAGGTTACATTCAGTAAAAAGCATGAATCACTAGAACAGCACATTATTCTGAAACTTGCAGCTGTTTATCTGAATAGATTCAGGTTGCCACTGCACTACTACGCTTGAGGTCAGAAAATTTGTAAAGATGCTTTCACAGCTAGATGTGCACTCTTCAAAGGATATTTCTGGGGCCTGTATTTAGAAATATTTCTGCTGCTTTTTTTGCTATACATAATCCTTTTGTTTCTAAATGCATTACTACATAGCTACAAAATAAATGCCTGACAATGCTGCACCTAGAAGTATCATCTTCCATTTGCTGTATAATTTGAAGATTTTCACAAAAACCTATTTTCATATCCATATTCTAAAGATTTCAATGGTAAAAAAAACTCCAACATTCTCTTCATGAAAACTGCTTCTAGTTTTCCTCAGTTGATAGCAGAAGTTAACAGTAAATTCTTCAGAGACAGACTATAGAAACAAAAAAGTTTAATGCCTATTTTCATCTCAAGAGGAGTCCAACACTACCTTCAATTCATACTATAAATACAGCCCTTCTGTGTGCCTTAAGTTATTTGATTTTTCAGAACAAAGTCAACTTTCCTATCTACCCATGGGCAAGGTGGATTCCAGAAAGGGAGCAGGATAGACAACGTATTCTAGATCTGTTGAGAGTTATGCCTAAGCCTAAACTGAGCAGAAAGCAAACTCTCTACTCATTGCACTAGGCTGAAAGTGCCCGAGCAGGGAAGGCAGGATAAACTCAAACGATCATCCAAGTTGCGTGCTCCATATATTAAACTGGATTAGACCTGAACCCTCAGAAACAAACTTTGGTACTGTAATGCCCTTCAAGTCAGTATCACCCCAGAGATATTCTTCTGAAATCTGAGATCCACCATACAATTATCACAGAATGGTATGGATGTGTGACTTGCACAAAGCAGACACTATCCAAAGGTAATCAAATACTTTTATTTTCCTCAAAACAGTTTCATGCCTGATGAAAACTTCCTAAGGAGGCTACAAAAACCATTAATCTTAAATCCTGGCAAACAAACAAAGCAAGTTTTATCACAGACCCAGTACCATAAATATTTTGTGCTTACAGTTTGTGATTTGGCTGTGTTGAACAGCTCCTGTCAATGAGATATCACAGCCTGCCACCTATACTGCTCACACAAGGTGGAAACATGAGATTACAAGTATCAGCCTTTGGTATGTCTGCAGCATTTACTTCTACCATTCTTGCTTTGTGAAAATAACAGCTTTTCCTCTCATTCTTTATCATTCGCATTCCACATTAAGAGTGTCACTATTCAGACAAATCAATGACAGCAGAGAAGAATCCTTTTCCGTATGAAGCCATTCAAGAATTACAACGCTAAAGTAAATAGACATTCATTGACTCCAATATACACATCACAGCTCCCACATGTCATGGTCTTATCAAAAACTACAATCAGTATTCAAACTAGCTAAGCCTTCTTTCCTACTGATTTATGCCTCATGGCTAAGTGACCTTTTAAATAATTTTGCCCAAATTGAAGTATGAATGCCCTCTTTATTAGATGTCAGCAGTATCACATACAAGATAAATCTGACTGAAGAATCAGTTCCTCTGGTGCCAAGATTGTCCTGCTGCACTCTTCATCAGCAGGACCTCTCTTCTCTACCTGACTGCCCTTTAGCTGTAGAAACTTAGAGACCTCTACACCATGCAAAACATTTACTAACTTTAATTATTTAGAGGGTGAAGAGAAGGAAGAAAGGAAGGAAGGAAGGGCAGAACAGTGCAAAAGAATGTAACGCAGGTGGACAGCAACATAACATCAGCTATTTTTCATTTAGAAACAAGGCTATCCCTCATCTCCCTCCCTCCCCATTTCACATATCTGCCTCAGCTCCCGAAATTCTGCTATCCACATAGCAATACTTCACAGCATAAGAAAAGCATTTGAGATTTTTTTTTCCCCTGCATCTGGTTCAAAATAGTCAGGTGAATGTTACATCCAAGGTTTTCCCTTCCCACTGCAATGCAAGAAAGTAGCAGTTTCCCAGCAGAGAAAGATGTTCCCACAGCAGTCACTTTTTAAAATTGGGAGGGCCTACAGCATAGAACCACAGCCTGCAACTGTAAATGAAGGACAAAAATTCCCAGCCTGATACACAGGCAGGAAAGCAGTTCAGATTACTGTTTTTATTTTGTAGACAGCAGATGGGACTCTAACCAAAGCTAATGTTTTTTTCCTCCTTCAAACTCCATCAAAAAAGCTTCCACTTCCTCTCCTCTCCCAAAAAATCCAAGCAGCATATCTCTGGCCAAACAATAATTAGCTTCAGCTTAGAGCAGGTCAAGAAGAAAAGTGGTTAGCAGAAAAGTTGCTAATCTGAGTTTCTCGAGCAAGAATTTGCAGCTATTCATGAATTGGTCAAGTCAGGTCTCTCAGCCCTAAGAACTTTACAGTGAATCAGACAGGATTAATGGCCAACACTTAAAGACTCCATTCAGGCTCATTTCCGTTTATCAGCCAAGACAGTACATAAATCAAATGTGCACTCTTCCCCTCTTCCCCAAAACAACAATAGAAGAATGCTTATTTATTGTGTGCTATAAATTAAAACTTTACTGTGTCCCAACAGTGCTTTCCAGTGTTTTAACACAACTTTTTACCATATTACCACTGGCAATTTTGAAAGAAGAACTACTGATGCTTTAAACATTATAATGAGGTGCAGAAAAGTAGCAACAGAATCAGTCTTCCTAAAAAGGCTTCATTAAATATTTATCACAGATTTCACCATCGTCAAAGTTAACTTCAGAGTAGCTACTAAAATATTGGCAGCTTTAAGACTCTATCATGAGCTAATTAAGGTTTACCTCAATCCTACTCTCTCAGGCCTTCTATTAGCACTACCCTGCAAAAGGTCAAAATTCTTTGAAATCACAAACACTTGGAAAATTGTCTCCTATAAAGTACACACATCTCCAAATGTTCACCACCTAGAATTATGGGGGAATTGTTTTGGGGTTTTTTTCGGGTCCCCCCCCCATCTCACTTTTTCTGACACTGATACTTTATTGCGCTAGGGACATCTAATAGTACAGCTTAGTCCAATGCACAAAAGCGGCCTGTCAGTGTATTTGAAAAGCTTTGCAGAAGATGCATCTGGTCATTACATCGTCCTCTCCATTTATGTGACCCTTTAGAACTCTGCAAGTTTCCAAATTCAGTCATTTTACTGCTTAAGTTGAAAGTCAGTACCCCCTGAAATTTATGTCTTGTCAAGAAAATTGGATAGAATAAAGCTGTCTACTTCAAGAAGAAATTGCCCTTTTGTGCTGTTTCATTGCCTAGTTAATACGAGGAAACTGGAGTGAATTATAGCAAATCTTTGATTAATAGATTAATTTTTCAGGAACTAACATGAATGATAGATCTGCCAAGGAGAGGTATTTGCTCCTATACTCCTACCAACATTAATAAGATGCCTGAAGGTCATTTTTTGCATGATGCCAAACGCCTGCAGCACGTAGGGAGAAAAATCGTGTTTTACAGAGGAATTCTACGTGACAGTAGTGCCATCTGTCAGTTAATGCCATACTGATCAGAATAACACAGACATGCTTATGTATGCTGTGAGATTCTGATGGGCTCATTCATGCCTTTCTGACTACATGACCTAGGCTTTGGGGGTGGGGGTGGGGAGGGGGGCAGGAATAAATCCACGGGTGAGATTAGCAAAAGAAAAATGGTCCTGTCTAGCTGTAAGCTAAATAAATTGAGAAAGCATAAGTTTACCTCGTATCTCAATGCCTGTTCTCCTGCCTGTATACTTCTAAACTTAAATGCCACAGGGTGAACAACTTGGAATACTTTTCTGCAAAACCATTAAAGGAAGTTTTAGATAAAAAAAAAAAAAAGACAGTTTAATTAAGAGGTAGGTTTAAACTCTTACAAAAAAGAAAAGACATTCAAATTAAGGTATCATCTGCATAGGGTATTTTGACTGAGTTAGACTCTGCAGTAGGAGACTCGTTTCCTGTGTGTTAAAGTAAACAATGGGAAGATGAGTAACAACTTTTTCATTGTGCACCATTTGCAATGATTATTGGCTTGTTAAATGCTATTAAGTTTGACTTCAGTAGATTTGGGTACCAAAAATTAGGTGTTTACATTTCCAGAAATCATATGAAAGAAGTAGGTACATAGTACTTTCAAGTATCTATATTAGACCTCTATAGGAGCCTAAACTGGCCAGTATAAGCCCCCTACTCCTTACTTCCCCATGCACATTTCAAGACAATTCAGGTTTTTCAGATAGAACAAATATAAGCATCTAATGCCATTTTATGCATCCTAAGGCATACAAAACATTCTAAGGCCTCCTAAAGTCTACTGAGGAGAGAGCTTCAGCTGTAATTAATCCAGCTTTGATACATGTAGTGCTTAAATCATTACCCCATTTATTAGTGTGTTAGAAGACTAATTTGCAGTTTTTCATGTTCTTTTGCAGCCTCACCTGCCTCAAGAAATATAGATGCACTAGTGTTTATGGCATATTGCAACACCTCTGCTAAAAAGCATCACTCCACAGCCTTTAAAAGAGAGTGGATGTTGATTTCACAGTTGGAACACAGTAAAGGCTCCCTGTATTATAGGAAAAAAAAAAAAAAGTTGTTACTCCTGACTGTAAATGAGGCAGTGTCCCAAGCACAAGTGGCCCATAAGCAGATCCCACTCTCCAGTCTTTTCAAGTCTGATCAAATATATCTGTACTGTATTCTAGTACCACTAAGGTAATGCATTGGATGGACTCATGAGTCTTCTCTATAATGCTATTAAAAACAAAAAAAAGGGAAACATTTCCACAGTCTTCCCCTTAACAGATTCACAAAAGGATGCACTAGCATAACTGAGTGCCATTTCATTATTTATTAATTTAACAGCTAAATAGCCACTCACTTTAGGTTTTGAAAAACGAAAACCACAATGATTCTAACTGAAATATTTCTTTCCTTACAAATCCATAGCACTAATCCCATGCAAAAAGCAAAATTTTATAGAATTCCAGTTTGTTCTGTCATATCATAAGCAAGCTGGCAGCTGCAACATCTCTGTGGCTATTTTTACGCATCTATGCTGATTCTCCATAGCCTACTGGTGACTGCTAACGTGAGCTTAGGACTATGCTTTTTTTCCTTGAAATAAAAGAAAATCCTCTTCTTCCCCCCGCCTCCCCCCTCCCCAGAGATATTCACACTAAAAGGTCAAAAATAAATCCTATTAGCTAGGCAGGTCTCCTGGTACCGTCAGAGAGCTCTGGAAGTAACTTGAAGGCAAACACTATCTAGGAGCATCATTATGATCTTTTGGTCCTTTACCTAGGAGTAGGTTAAGCTATTTCAGGTGTTTGACCTTGAAGGATCTGAATCAGCAAAGCCTACACTATATATCCAGGAACCAAGAGAGATGCTTTATACAGAGCATACACAATCTGTTCTATCAAGGCCTTGCATGTCCAAAGGACTAGGGCTCATCTGTGTGGACACCTACCATTCAGCTTCCCTCACCCTCCTAATATTAAGATGATGTTTTACTGTTGACATTTGTCACTTTTGAGATACACAATGCGAAAAGAAGGATCATATACAAATCATGTTACAATACTGCCACTCTGTGGGCTGAAGAGGTCATGGGCTGCTCTAATCCTTTTCTATTTTTGGTAGGAGCAAGCAAAGCAAAAGGCAGTTTATGATTACCCATTTATCAGGAACAACTCTGCTCTGGTGCAGAAGGGTAAATTAACAGATCCTAAAGCAAAAGCACTCAAAGCGCAATACAAAAATCAGACTTGCCAAGGTGCTGAGTTCACTTAACTCTGCTGCTTACAGCTGCTCAAAGCATCTGCTTGATCCCATGAACAGCAACAGTGAAATCTCCTGTGACACTGGATAACCAAGCAATCCAGCTTCAGAGTAGATCAGTAACAGACAAACTGACTTCAGTTCTCAGAACAAAGACACTGGTCCCATAACTTACCAGTATCAAGACACAATTTTAATCTTAATGATGTAGATCTCCTCCTTTCACAAAGCCTAATTCACTGTTACTCCATACACACACAAACTTAGGGAAGAGTAGCTGTAGCTTCAGCATGCTGCATATACGAGTCTTATTCGGAATGCTTGTCTCTGAGGATGCAAGCCCAACACGAGGCATTCTGCAACATAAGCACCGGAGCGGCAATGAAGGAAAGAAAAAAAAACACAGATGGAACTAAACCTTAAATCCAAACTGGTGCTGAAGAGGAGGAAGATCTGCAATTCATAACTTTTGCTTCTACTCAGGTTTTTCTGCCAAACATCTGCTTTAAGGCTCTTGATTACAATAACCCTGAGGACTTGTTTACAGGTGGCCACACAGAACAAATGTGACTGATTCAGCATAAAAGAGACTGTTACCTTTCTTTTCTACTAGGATAAGCCTCTCCTTCTCTGAAGCCATGGAAAGTACTTCCCATCCCTGTGTAGTAGTAGAAACTAGGAGACACTGAATACATAAGTAGTGCTTCCAGTTCTGTACTTTGCCTCCAACAGCATTCTGGTAAAGCAACTACACAGCAGTACCCTCTTTAGCACAGCCACTTCTTACAATATCAGATGGAACAAGCACTGTTCGAAACATTAGCACTGGGAAAAAGAGTAACATTCTTATCGTGCTGCAAGTAAACAAACCATGGAGTTAATTAAGATGAATGCTTTATTCAGTCTAATTGTCTACCATTTGCAATACAGCATTTTCTTGTTAGCGCTTAAATTGGTCTTCAATGGTTATTAAAATTACAGTAATACAGTCTAGCTTGCATTCATGTAAGTTAACTGATAAGAAAAGTATCTGTTTCACTGAATTGCAGTAAGCATAGCAGATACAGGAATCAACCACTGCATGCAACTTCTCACTTGCAGTTACCAAGCAGTTGCTATTTGCCTAAACCACCTTGCTGGCCATCTTATCAAGAGATTGCAATAGATTCAGAGCTGAGCACAGAGACCAGCTGTCAGGAATAACCTGGAAAATTACCTAATTATGACCAAGAGCATCTAGTTTAAGGATTATTCATTCCACTGCAACTGATGGGGCTCTGACAAGGCTACAAAGATTCTGCACTTTTTAATTCTTTGTTCTTAACTATTGAATTTAAGGGGAAACGTAAGACTTCCTTAGTAGCATCCTCAGTTCTGGAAAGCAACTGTTACATACCATCAGCCAATATCCTTCATCCTAAACAGAATAACCTGAAGTAACCTTTTTTGAAAGGTGAAAGTCTGCCATAATCACTCTGCTTTCTGTTTATTTCTTTTAAGCTACTTCCTCCCTGATATTTTTGGCAACAAGGAGCTAGTAGGAATACTGTGTTTTAGAGAATAGATGCATGAATTTCCTGAGCGAACTAATGCAAAATCTTTAGGTTGCTGCTCTGAATCATTCATTACACCACATGTTCTGCCTTTTTCTCCTGAAGCAGTTTGGAGCTTAGCTTACCTTGACTCTATCCAAGGTGTTAAGACAGCCCAAGGGGCTTTTGTGCAAGAAAAATGCATTTGAATATGTCAGGAAGTTGTTTGTAGCTGCTAAAACTCAAGGGCTTATCCATAAAGCAATTCAGTCCCTACAGAACTTTGTAAGAGAGCTACCAAAAGGCAGACAACTACTCCAAAGCTTAAAGTATATTCTGCTTGCAAGAACTGGCAGCCTGTTTCTCCACAAATGTGCCTGAGGTAGGGGATTTCCATTTTAGTTTCTGCACGTCTAGAAGATTTCTATATGAAGTTTTCGAAAAAATCTCCTAATTAAACTCAAAGTTGGTGAGTCTTGAAAGCATCCCATGCTTTCAAGCTTCACCCAGTAACCCAAACCAATGCTATGATAAAGGCCTGTGTCAACAGCTGAGGTTATATAAAGTTGTAGTACCCTCTTCTCCCTTGTGCAACAGTAACATCTTGCAGAACTGAAATAATAGGCTAAATGTGGTCCACTAGACCCACTATGAAGACTGTTACATAACCTTACGGACTCTGCTCCCCAACACTAAGACAAGCGGAACAACTTTCAGCTGTCCTAGAATGAATTGTATTTTGTTTATAGAGAATGAAAAATTCAAATCAATATGGGCAAATTAAGATTCAAAAAAAAAAAAAAAAGAGCTTAAAAAGAGCTGATTTTTTAGGAATTGCATCCTAGAGACTTATACTTACATTTGCTTTCGATTTCCCAGCTGACTCCAAACTTCAACTACAAAACCATCAAAATTTTCATTCTTAAAAAAAGGTATTGACAACAATATAGGGTTAATCACCACACTTTTGTTACACTTGTATTACAGATAATACATTACACAATTACTTTAGCTTTTCTTGCAGTATTACAGATTGAACACGCTTTGCACTCTTATATAGCTTAATGCAGCACTTCACAAAGAAGTCAAAGTGAAGCACAAATTATTTAAGAAATATGCAAAAATTGAAATAAATTCATTAGTTGCACGTAACTTTTACTCTCACAGGATAAAGTAGTATCAGATTAGGAAACAAATTATCTATTAATGAAAGTTGGTTGTTAAGCAAATCATGTGGCACACATTTATACATATATTGGGAAATAACTTATGAGGTATTGAGTCTAAAAAGGTCAATACTAACTTCGGCATAGGAACGATTTCAAATATTTCCCATAATTAATCTCACTTGGGATAACAGAAGTTTAGCATGATCAAGAATAAGGAAAGGATCCTCTGGTCCAACAGTAAGAGGCCAACTGCTGCATAGAGGACCTAAAGTTGATGTAGCAATTATCAAATTTAAGAAAGTATTCAGTTGATCTCTGCACCCATCCTGCTCTGGAACATATTAAGTTTTCTTTACATCCTGTAACAAGTGAGAACACTTATTCTAACAGTAATTAGGAAGGATCTCATGAACTAACCACTGAAATTGAATGTCTTCTGTGTGCAAAGTTTCTAGACCTACACATATATAGTTCTAAAGCCATTAATTAAGGAACTGCCCAGAAAACCTTGGCAAACAGTAACCACTCCTTAAAGGAAACCCTCTTCCTCCTCTTCTCTCCACAGCCTCTTAACAATTTAAGGAAACTGCATTATCACTTCTGAGCAAAACTGTACAGTAACAGATATCCAGTGAGTTACACTCTTGTTACTAAAATTGGTTCATTAAGTCTAGCACATTGAGCCTAAAGGTATTCCTGTAGCACAGGACACAGCACGCATTGCACCAGTGACCTTTTGTCAGCCTATCAAAGGAAAAAAAAAAAGTTTTAGTCCATGCTTAATAGATTTCTTAAAAGAAAGTTTAAAAAAAACCAGTCTGCTCACTAGATGACCTCCATGAGAAGTGTATTAGGCATCCACTAGTGTCTCAATGCTGCTTAATTTATCAGCTGTCTGACACAGGTTTTACCAACCATTACTTATAGCTCACAGAAGTCACTGCAGCAACAAATAGGGTTATTTGATCAGACTTATGCAGCCTCACTTTAGATTGGTAAGTAATCATACTTAAATATTTCTGTACTTCATATTTATAGTAACAGGACACATTCTGGAACACATTATGAATCATCCTGCCTTATTACTTTTTTTTGAACAGAATTTAGTTTCTTATGATACAGAAGTACCGGATATGAGAAAACACTTTACAAAAGGAACCAATAATTATCTCACACTGTTTTAGAAGCATTTGTGAAAAAGTCTTTTTACCTTGGCTAGCAGAACCATATTCTTGGAAAGCTCCTCTATCTCATCTTCACTGCCAAAAACACTCTCAAAGTCTTGGTAAGTCCAGCCGTCAAACAAAATTCGAGGTACTGTCCAGCAAAGAAATCAATCAGTAGTGCAAATTAAGAATTTGTTAGCTACACTGGATATTCCTGCAGAATAAGAGTGAAACTATAATTTTATACCAGATGCCAGCAAAAGTACCACTGAACAAGATATCCCACATTAAGATCATTGCTCTTTAACCTATTTTACCAGTGCTGTAGACAATGTATAAGAGTCTTTTTTTTCCATTCTGTTTTAAGGTTATTTAAAAGGTCAGCACTAGCACGAGTTTTAAGAAAAGATAATATTCAGTTGAGAACTGAACTATCGCTTCAGGCCCCAAGTAGTGTCTCAAAAGAACACCAACTTGAAATAGCAGCCCTTCTGCAACTTGCACGTCTCTCCGACCACAAGAGCAACAAGATAGAAAAGTTCACCTCAGACTCCTGTTTGCTCTCCTGTACGCTGCAGTATATTATGCCACTCTTTTGCTCATCTCAAAAGCCTATGACAAATTTTTATTTTGGAAACAGGGGCACTTGAGCTCACACTACATTTTTAATGTTTTAAATGTGTTATTAGAAAACATTGTCAGTCAAGAGTCAGGAAAACTGCTGCCGGAATGGTCAATCATGCACACTGGGAATGCAAAGAATCCAAACGGAGCTATGCCCTTTTTAAGTAAGAAGGGAGTGGAAGAGTATTTTAGAGGAGTCTAGAGAGATTTCAAAGATCATCACCTGGCAGCTGGAGTCATTTTAAGTATCTGACAGAGCATTAAATTTCTGTAATCCACTTCAAGTTTCAGACACCCTTCTGAAGCAAGGAGAGTTTCACTGGTTTCACAGTCCTACAGGACTCTGCTAAATTTCTTACAGTTATCTATAGCAACAGTATCATCCCTACAGCAATGTCTGTCATTTTCCCTGAAGAGACACACTGTGGCAGATCCCTTGAGGTCTCAGCTTCAAGGGGAGAAAGGGGCTAAAGGAAGGCAAGGGAGGACTTTTCTGGACTGTCATGCCAGATATTCTTACTGACTCAGATTTGTAAGCCCCTCCCCTCTCTCCCCCAAACTAAACAGAAACCATGAGCACCAAGTTTGAAGCCTGCTCCCCAGGTAAGCTTGCTGTCATGTGCAGAAGTACCTCTCCAGAGGGAACCATGTGACCCAGGGTTTATCTGGAGAAAAGCAGCTAGGGAAAAGCATTAGGGCACCAACAGAATTAGCACTTCAGTTACTTAACTATTAACAGTTAATTGCATTTAGCTTTTTGGGTTTTTTTTCCCTCCAGACTTCTTCCTTCATTTGGCTATGCTAAGATAACCTCCCTTCTCCCGTATACTCCTGGGACAAAGCCTTCTTCTGATCTCCTAGTGACTAAAGATAAAACAAACAAACAAACATACATATATACACAAAACAGACTCACCTATTTTGATGTTTTTGGAGTTTTTTCTGACATCTTTCATCCAGCCTGTCAAACAGTATCAAGTAATAGAACAGCTTGTTAAAATATGAACGATGTTGACGATAACATTTTCAAGCCTTTTTTCCAATAACATAGCATAGTTTCATTATATGTCTTCCTGCCACAGATGACCAGTCCATAAACAATGCAGTGGAAACATAGGCTCTGGTACCCAGAAAATGAGAACATTCACCCCCACCACAGCCATAACCAGCATTTACTATAACCTTACAAGAGTTCCCTCCCCAGTCCCTCTCCCTGCTGTTTACAGTTCTGCCTCTTTATGGCAATTAGGCTACTGCCTATTGAGAATAACACTTCTGCAGTCACCAAGCACCACTTCGGAGGAAGTTTTTTTTTTTTTTTTTAAATCAGATGGCTAGTTTTAAGTCATTATGTGACTTTGTTAGTAGGCACCAACATGATCAAAAAGTATAGCTGTTTTGAATTGGATTCCATAGAAACATTTCAGTCATGTTAAAAAAAACATACACTACTTCGTTAGCATTTAAAAGCATACAATCTGAAATCTAAACTGGCTAACAATTCCTTGATACAGGAGGAGAGTGTTTTGGGGTTTTGTTTGTTTGTTTTGGGAATGAAAGATGAATTTAACCTCTCTAAAAACAAAAAACCAAAGTCACCCAAAGGTTTTGCAAGAGGAAAAACAGGTACACAACTGCATAGTGCAAAAACCAAAGGCAACTGCTGCCTGTACATGTTTTCTGCCTCATCCTTTCTTAAGGAGGACTGGTGGAAGAGCCAATCTTTCTACTTATTTCTGAACAGACAAACTATGTGCATACGTGGAAGCAGGCAAGGGCAGGCAGAAGTTCACTCTGAAGAAAACTTCCCATCAATGTAATGGTAGGAAGTACTTCACTGCGAGGCAGAGGGCAAAAAATCCACACGCGTATATTGTCAAAACTACCTATCAGCCTACACCACTACCACCTACTTGCAAAGCATATACAAAGAAAAAAAAAAAATAAAACCTTGGTCAGCATCATGGAGCCCAGTGAACTGAAACCTTTCCTTCCCTCTCCTTTTCACCTGTAGCCAGACTGGTGAGATGAGTGTAAATTTATTTCCAAATATTTTAGCAATGTCATAGCCATGGCTGTTCCACTTGCAAAAGAAAGAAGAAAAAAGTGAGAGGCACATAAGCAAGATACACAGTGCACTTTACTGTTTTACAGATAGTACAGACTTAATCTTTATTTGCCAGATCTTCACTTACTAGGTGGAGAAAACCTTCTGGGATATTATTTTCTTTTGATTAAGAAAGGCACTCCGGAAATTCTCTGGTATCTACATAAATGGCAACTTTTCAAATCGTGCAAATTCACCTGAACTACAAGAATTTGCAGGTAGATTCCAACAGAGCTTTAAATTAACAGGCTCTGTGTTTATGTTCAACAGAACTTGAGAAAAGCGAGCTTCATAGGACACCTATTTCTCTTAGGCTGAATAGTGTAAGAATGAAACAAGTGAGAAGCATCTTCTAAACAAAAAGAAGGAACATCTATTACTCAAGAGAAGATGTTCTGGATAATAAGCCCCTATAGTACAAGGGATCCACTTGACAGTAGTATGAAAGCATTACTGCTTATTCAGAAGTTTCAGGTTGGTAGCTGCATAGTATGAGGACATCATAGCACTCCTGCTCTGACTTTACTGCAAGTTCACATGACTCGACAAGGAAATACTATCATTTCCATTTTAATCAGCGAGGAGAACAACAGCAACATGACTTAGACATCCTATAAGGGGCAGGCAGAACAAGGGTTTGACACCACCCAAGCCAGCATATCAAGTAATCCTTTATTTGACTACAGACCAGACATTTCCAATTCTTTTATATCAATGATGCAAGACGGCCAACTAGCAGTCCGTGGCAAATTCATTCCAAGTGCCAATTTTAATAACTACATTATATTAACTTACAGGAGTAATATAACCCAGAACGTCTCCTGAGAAGTGCCTTTCCTTTATCTTCTTGAAGCAGTAACTTCTGTGTTCGAGTATAATATCCTTTGCCTTTGGATCAACAACTACCAGCCCCCGGTCCTGTACTTTTTTATCGGAATGCAGTGTCTGAGGGGAAAAGAATAGCCATATGAAGCAGCTACATTCAATAGCAACGAACTTGAAAAAGAACATTGAACTCTGAGCACTCCCTTTAAACAAGGCAGAGCAGTCTGATCTAAAAATGAAACAGGAAAGAGTTTGGAAATGATTTGTCATCAGCAGCAAATTTACTTTGTTTGCAAGAGGAGAAAACATATAAACAAAAAAACAAGAACTGACAAGATTAAAAAACATCAGTCCACAGCTGATGACTGCTACATTAATAGCTTAACAAGCTACTGGCAAGGGAAGTCCAAGCATGCAATAGGGCGGTTTTCAAAGTCAGAGTGGGGCTCCAGGACAATCTCTGGCAGTTAGTCACACCTTGGCATTTGCACTTTCTAAATTCTGATCTAGGACAAAGAAACATGAAAACGGTGCAACAGCAGGAAAAAAAAAATTCTTAATGGCCAATTCTGCAAGTCCACACTAAGTTTGCATGAAATTGCAGTTCAACTCCTCATCATTTTTAAAATTTAAGAAGATGAATAAGACCCAGTTGATACCCCTACTATTTTAGGGCCACATAAACCTACACCATGCATGACAGAGTAATTTCCTAGTTTTGCTAAATACAGCCATTTAGTCTCAGTAGCTATAAATTCTACAGTACCTGTAGAGAAGCTAGCCTTCTTATTAGCTGTTGAAATCTGTTTAAGTGCCTTTGTGTTCCCCTTTGCTCTCTAATCACTGCTGACATATTATCCCCCAAATAATTAAAAAAAGGCTTAGCAGTTCTTAAACAAGATTTTAAAAAGCCTTTTAAATGGGAGATCCTTTAGCTTGAGCATGCTGCATTGTAGTTACTGGCAGCAGAGGTTCCTGACGTTTTTCTTTACAGAAGGTCTGCTTGAACTACAACACCACAGGCAGCGTTAGCAGACCAAAGGAGAGATTCAGAAGGCCTAATAAAACGTGCATGGCAAGTATGCAGAATTCTATGTCCATTGATTCAGCTAAGGACTTCGGGGATAAAGCCTTTCCTAATAGCTTGTATTGCCCTGGTGCCTAGTAATACTAGCTGCAGACTAGATTTTCCTCCTGGTAGATGCTGAGCAAGCAAGTCATAAGAACAATGAGAGAAGCATAAACATAATAGAGGATTAATTATCCTTTTTAAGGGACAGGATTTTGAATAGATCACATATCTACTTTTCTACCTAAGGTGCTTAGCAACACTAAGTATATGTACTTGATGTGTATATACACATGTATATGTATACTTAGCACATACACTTGTGCATGTACTTTCTCTCCATACACATCGTTTCTCTTGCACTGCTGTGCCTTCTTGCAGTTTTGACAGAGACTAGGCAGGAAACAGGAACATGCTCAGCAAGTTAAGGGAGGCTCCAGCACGTTGGGTCCTCTTGCTTAGACTGCTACAGAGTCTGAATCATTTCTCCCTACAAAGTAACCGCTGGTTGGCAGGCCCTCCAAACTCTTCTACCAGGATACAGGCTTCCTATAGGAAAGGCTAAGAACACCTTCCCCTCCACCTGTAAATGACCTAGCACTCTTAGCCCAAACCACTGCTCCCATATACACAGGAACGGGGAAACATCTCCTTTAGCTGCACATGCAGGGGACAAAGTCTTCCTGCTTCTGAAGCTTGCATGGGGGATGAAAGCTCCAAAAGCCTAGATTGTATTGGTTCAAGGAGTGAAGCATTTGTGACACTCAAAAAAGCTGAAGAAATGGACAGTTTCCAGTAGTTTTCTTTGTGAACCTAACCTTCAATGGAAGCTCATAGTCATATTTAATATTATATTGAGAGAATGAGAATCCCTTTATCATCTCTCAAAGCCTGACTAGTTCACTACATATCTTAAACATGAGCACTTCAGTTATTTCTCTTACCTTTTCTTCCAGTTTTTTTGAAGCTCCTTTCTTTGCATCTGTCTTTGACAAGGTGCCTTCAGCTAGCCAACCAATCATGATTAGAAAAAGTGAGGTACAGAGAAGCCTCATCTCAGTGTTCCTCATGTCAGATTTCTCCTATCTTGAAAATGCAAGGGTTCAAATCTCTGTGAATAGAGGAACATAACAGCTTAAGAGAAATTCAGCTTTGTCATCTAATTCAAGCATTTGTCTTACCTTCTGCTCTCTATCTATAAGATGGTTTCTGGTTTAACACTGCTTTTGCCCTAAAAGCAAAATAACAGAGCATTTTCAGAGCTTCCTAGACCCTAGCTTAATCATCATTTCTTGTTCTTTGTTTCACTAGCTGTACCATGGAAAAAAGGAGTGGAGTAGTTGCAGCTTCCCTTTTAAAGGATCCCTAACGAAGTATAAGGGTTCACAGCTGAAACAGATAGATGTCTGCTGCCCAGAAGGGTAACACTTTAGCCTTACCTTTTCTATAGCAAATAAGAGATACCATCTGTTTCTTCTCCTGCCTAACCCAGTCAACAGGGCACAAGTTAATTAAGGGACAGAAAGAATTACAGCTGTGTGCCTTCACTCTAATAGCTAACAACTTTGCTTTCAATTCCTTGCCAAGTCAGTGACACATACAGAATTGAAAAAAATAGGGAACCTTTTGTCTAGAAGAATGACTTTGGCAGTTTGTTCCAGCTCAGGATAAAAGAATTTAGCATCAATTGAGAACGGTTCTGTTCACTGTTATTTATCTATCAGGCCAAAGTCCTGTTAGGAGAGAGATTTCCAAAAAAAAAAAAAAAAATCAAATGCAGCCCAAGAGACTGGTTTCCAACCTCTCCCCATTCACCAGTTGCACCAGTTTCCTCATTTAGTTCCCTAAGAGTGGATAAGGAGACCAAAAAAAAACATTTTGGCTTTAGGGAAAGTGAGGTGGAAGGAGATAAAATATCAGAATACAGAAAAGTAGCTTGCTATTGATTCTGGAAGTCCTCAGGATCAAATTGGGACGAGCTTTCATCTATAATTGATTAGTGGCTCTAGATATATACTAGCCTGCTTCTCATAATTCTGAGATTCTAATGGAGAAGAAAAAAAAAACCCTTAGCCTTCCCAAAACTGCCTGAAGTTTTCTGTCAAACATATCCCCTTGTTCTTAAAAAAATTCTTGTTCTTCCTGTAATATTTTGGAAAATTAATGTTTGCACCACTCACTCTGAAGACTTACTAGCTCGTTTCTTCAAGAGTTATATCTACAAGACTTGCTGTTTTGCTGGCACTGATAAGAAGCGCTGCTCAACATTTGAGCTTTCTGTTTCTGCTCAGAACATCAAGTGAGGGATCCCACAACAGCAGACTGCACACGCCAAAGGAGTCCTGTGGCAGTAACACGTTGGCAGAGGAACCTTAAAGGTTAAATGAAAGTGTACTCAATGAAACAGCAGCTATTTGAGACCAACACAGGTACAGCAGAGATGAGATCAAGAGCCCGATAAACTCAGTAGATTTGGACAGGGCTGGCTTAGCAGTGAAAGTTCTGAAAAGCAGAGAGATACATTGCAGGAGCTAGGAATTTTGCAGGAGAATAGAGGGGAACATGTGATTAGGGAACAAAGCGGGAGGAAGGCGGCAGAAAGACTGTTTGAAAACAACCAATACCACTAGCACAGAGAACAGGGAGCATCAAAAACCGTGGGTACAAAATGACTTGAGGGATTCAGTCAAGCCTTAAAGACTGAGGAATAAAAGCAGCGAGTCTTCTAATACTTCTTGGATCCAGGAGGTGGGGTAAAATGCAAACTGCTACACCGTTTGAGTTCACTGTTATTAAGTTAATGTGTTACACTTTGACTTTGCCTTCAAGGTCACTAGGTATTCCCTTGTTTTCTACATCCTAAAAGATTAGACAAAGCAGGTTGCTCTTGATAGCATCTTCTCCGTTCCCTCTAGCCTGGCAAAATCTATACACTACTGCAGAGAGGAACAACTAAGAACCTGGATAGTCAATACAAGCCTTAACAATTTGGACAGGATATTCCAGAAGCTGATATATATTGATCTGGAGGTGTTTAATTTCACATTCAGAAACAATTAGCAGCACCATTCATTTTCCTGGAGAGAAGTTAGTTTTTAACAACTGAAGCACCTAAGTTCAAAAAACCCTTCATTGAACTCTAATTAGACATCAAAATGGGCTCATTTTCTTGACATGATCATATCCATCTGTCAATTACTACAGGTCAACATTCACTCCTGGAACTATAGCAAGCGCTGAGCCTGTGACAATGGTTTCTGCCAGAGGTAGTTCAATATTGACTCTTGGTTGGAACCTTATTTTAACAATTTGTTCTTTAGCAACATCAGTTTAGTGAAACATAAGGAGACAGTATTGCTTTATTACAGGGCCATGAACTAGCTGAACTTTAAACGCTCTTAACTGAAACCATAAGCATGGACTTTGAAAGCTTTACAAAAGTTTTATCTCTATCAAATTTGTCTTCAGCAAACTTCATTTCTACAGTTTTTAATTCTGCTTATATTAACTTACTACGTAGAACAGCAAAAGCTTGGCACCCTTGCTTCCTATCTGTACCACTGCAACATGCAAGCAGGATTAAATATAAGATTGAATTCTTCTGGGTCCTTGTGCAACTCAAATTTTTCTTTCATTTGTTTTTTCCTTTCCTTTCTTTTCTGCTTTCTTTTATTTCTTTTTGCTTTTTCTTTTTCTTTTTGGCTTTTCTCTCTTCTCTCTTCCTTTTTTCTTTTTCTTTTTGGCTTTTCTCTCTTCTCTCTTCCTTTTTTCTTTTTCTTTTTGGCTTTTCTCTCTTCTCTCTTCCTTTTTTCTTTTTTTTTGCTTTTCTCTTTTCTCTCTTCCCTTCTTTCCTTTTCTTTCTCTTCCTTTTTTCTTGTTGCTTTTTTCTTTTCTCTCTTCCCTTCTCTTCTTTCTTCTTTATCTTTCCTCTTTATCCTTCTTTTTCTTTTTTTCTTATTTCTTTTTTCCTTCTTTTTCTCCTTTTTCCTGTCTTTTCTTTTTTCTTTTCTTTTTTCTCTCCTTTCCTTTTTTCTTTCCTTTTTCTTTCTTTCCTTTTTTGCGTTCCTTTCTTTTTTCTTTGTGCTTTTTCTTCTTTCCTTTCTTTTTTGCTTTCCTTTCTTTTTTCTTTGTGCTTTTTCTTCTTTTCTTTTGTCTTTGTGCTTTTTCTTGTTTCATTTTTTCTTCTTTCCTTTCTTTTTTCTTTCCTTTTTCTTTTGCTCTTTTTTCCTTTCCTTCTTTTCTTTCCTCTTTCTTTTTCTTTCTTCTTTCCTTTCTCTTTCCTTCTTTTTTCTTTCTGCTTTCCTTTCTTTCTGTTTCCTTTCCTTTTTCTTTCTTTCTTCTTTCACTTTTTCTTTTTGTTTTTTCTTTTCCTTTCTCTTTTTCCTTTCCTTTCTCTTTTGTCTTCTTTTCTTTCTCTTTCCTTTCTCTTTCCTCTTTTCTCTTCTTTTTTCTCTCCTTTTTCTTTTTTCTTTTCCTTCTCTCCTTTTTTCTTGTCTCTCTCTTTTTTTTTTTTTTTTGAGAAAGTGACCTGAAACCAAGCTTTATCTCTAAGCCAGGTCACAAATGCATCACCAAACTGAGTCTCCACATGAGGTAATGCCTTTTTTACTCAGCGGTTTTAAATGCTTCTTTATTTTACAGAGAGAAGAAAGCAGGCATAGACTTAAGCTGCCCAAAAGAAGCAACCAATGAAACTGAATAGTCCCAGAGGCTGGCGGAGGAAGTTTTTGGAAACCGGAGTTAATGTTTGTATGTCGTTTCTGGAGCAGCAAACAGCTATACCTATCACTGTGGGAGAGCTCTGGGTGAGATGTCAAGTATCCCTTAACAAAGCAAGCGCAGGAAGCACGCTGTTGGCGGCACTCTCAGGGAAACCCACAGAAGCTAGACCCGGGCGTGAAAACAGAGAAAGCAACGCTCT